TATATATATACATAAAGATTTGTTTTTATTAGTTTTAATTATGTGTATGTCTGTGTGTGAGTATGTACACACAAGTACAGGTGCCCAAGGCCAGAGGAGGCCAGAGGTCTTCAATCCCCCTGAAGCTACAGTTATGGGTAATTGTGAGCTACCTGACATGGGTTCTGGATGTCAAACTCCAGTCCTCTGCAAGAGCAGTCGGTGATCTTAACTGAAGCACCATCTCTCCACATTACACAAAAGATAAATTTGGGGATGGGATCAGAGGTAGAACACTTACCTAGGGGCTCCAGATTAGATCTTCACCACTGAAAGAGACTGGTCCTACAACTCACTTGCCTAATGTGTGAAGTTGTACTTTGATCCCCAGGAATATACACACATAAATAAGCAAGTAAGTAAGTTAATTAATTAATTAATTAATTAATAGGTTAAATTGGGCATAGTGGCACACATCTATAACCCTAGCACTCAGGAAGTCGTAGCAGAAGATCAGGAGTTCAAGGCCTCTATCAGCTACAGGGCCTGAGCTACATGAGAACCTGTCTCAAAAAAACAAAATGAAGCAAAAAGCAGGTGAGATGGCTCAGTGAGTAAAGGGACTTGTTGCCAAACCTAAAGACCCAGTTTGATCCTCAAATCATATGGTGAATAGGACAGAACGAGCTCCTCCTGAAGTTGTCCTCTGACCTCCACATAAGCACCATGGCATGCTGCCCACACCCATAAATTAAATAAATAGATAACAAATGTAATAAAAATGTAAAAATAAAAACTATTAATAATATAGCAAATTAAAAATAAAAGATGAGTCTGTCTGCAGTGGAGGCATCAAGATGGAGCTATAGGACCATCCCCACAAAGCCAGACAGGCAGGGATGTGGAGGCCTTTTACATATACCATCTTCTATCAGACATTATACCCAGCCCACTGAGGTTTCCCAACCCTTTTTACAGTTGAGGAAACAGACTATGAGAAGTTAAAGGGCAAGCTGAGGCCCACCCTACCAGGAAGATCTGGAACTTCAACCCAGATTTTATTGTAAAGCCAACATTGTTTCCTCTCCCAATGTGGTATTAAAATTGGGGACTGGAGAGATCAGGAGTCAAAGGGAGAGCTGAGAAAGAAAATGCTATAGTGATGACATGGTAACTGTTTTCTTCTGTTTCTACAGCTATGGAGTCAAAATCCGGGCCCCTCACGCAATGGTCATGACCTTTCTCTTCAGGAGTGGCAGGTATGCTCCAACTCCCACCCCCACCCAGGTCTCTGGATACTACTCAATTGGGAGAGATGAGGTCAGCTCTCAGCCCACAATGGTTGTAGTAGCTTCCTAGCAGGGTCTAGCCTGTCCACCCCCACCCAGCCTTACTTTACTGCACTTCCTAAAGTCCAACTCTGGTATGTGTCCCCACTTGAAAAATGCCTGTGCCTTGCCACTGTCCTCCAGAGATGCCCAACTGCCAGGCCTGGATCCTCAAGGCCTTCTTACCTGGCCTCAGCTGAATCCCTACAGTGTCCACTGTGGGGCCTCCTTGGCATGCAGGACCTGTTCCTTACACATGTTTCGGTGTTTTTGCTCCCACATATTTGCTCGTGCATACCCCTATCAGGAGTGCCCTGTCTTTTCCAGCCAGGCTTTATTTTCCACCTGGGACCTGTCTAGTACTCTGAGTCAGATTCTCTGGGAAGCTGTTTCTGATCTCTCCTCAACTGCTTAAGTGTCTTGGCCTTCTTTTGAGCCCTCATAATCCTTCCCCTTCAAGGCTCTACTCAGAAAAGTTCTGTGATCTAGTGTTTTTTTTTTTTTTTGGAAAGGCCAATAGAAGTCCAGTAGTGACAAACCTTGGGTCATTCAAGACAAGCAGGTGTCCTGGTTTCTGTTTACTTTATTAAACCTCCTAGTAAAGAATATTTTTTTCGTTAATTATTTATTTAATAACCACATACTTAGAAGAAGCATTTCATTACAACAGCATTGACATATTCAATAAAAATTTTCTGAGCTAAGATGCATCTTTTTCAGAATTGGCTGTAAATTTTTAGGTTTACAGTTGAATTATTATAGTTATACAATATTGTACTCAGTATAAACCCTATAAGACATAAAGTTAAATGAGATTTTAACCTTTAAAAAAAGATCTCCATTTCATTATTAAAATACACAGTTTCATACAGAAAAATTCATTTTCAATGCAATTGACATTAATATGTTTGCACATGCATTTCTGATCTCTATATATCTGATTCTTACTAGTGATAGTCGGTTACTTTCTGAGCTCCTTGGCATCTGAGCATAGATATAAAGTCATCAGGTAGATTTCAATGGTAATGTTTATCACATCTACTAATTATTATTTTTTTAATCCTTATTTTTTAAATCGTTAATAACTACATGATTAGAAGAACCATTTCAGTAAAGATTTAACATATTTAGTAACACACTCCAGAGCAAGAGTACATCTCTTTCACAAGTGGGTGCAAATTTCTAGGTTAACAGTTGAGTTAATACAGTTAAACAATATTGAACTCAGTATAAGCACTGTAAGACATAAAATTGAATGAGTTTTTTAACTTTTCAAAAAGATCTCCACCTCATTTTAGAATATATTGTTCCTTGCAGAAAGACTTATTGTTTTTGCTACTAACACTGAGATGTTGGCACATGCATCTCTAATCTGTATGTATCTGATTATTACTAGTCATAATCGGTTGCACTTGTATCCTTGGCGCCTGTGTATGTCTATGAAGTCATTGGGTAGATTTCAATGGTAATGTTTATCACCTCAAACTAATTAGCACGATGTAAATTTCCATGCTTCCTCCTCAAATATAATACATTTTTAAAAATTTGTTGATTTTTTTAAGTGTGTGTATATCACACAGAACATCTCAAACCATCTTATTCAGCTATACTCCCACTTCCCAGATGGCACCCTCCCATAGCCTCCCTCCCACCACTAGAGCCCTTATACTCTGATATCCCTGTGACTGTCTGCTGTGTTGTTCACACCCCAGCCAATCCCCACTTCTTGTCCATCTGGTGAATCTAGTCAGCCTGTCTAGAGGTCTTTGTTTTAGGAGGGTCAGCTGTTCCTCTTCTAGCAGCAATCAGTTGTCAGTACTCCTTTAGATGAGATTAGGGTCTGCTGTTCATTTTCCCAGTTCTGTGCTGGATTACTATCTGGGAGTCCCTTTGGCCACCCTGGCCAACAGCTCAAAAGAAGGTATCTCCTATCTGGCATTGTTGCTTGTTATGTAGTCTTTAGCTATGCATATGGACTCTTAAGAAATTGTATTGACCCCTTTAATCTTTGGTTATACTTCTCTTTTGGATGTTTAAGGCCATACAGTTGGCCCAGATAAGCCAATTTATTTTTACTCTTAAGGTCGTTTGAGGATCTGTTCCTCAGGGATCTCATGGGCTTGGAGGAGCCCCTGGCTCCTTTCTTTTACCAGTTCCGCCTATGTGAAGATAAGTCAAAGGTCCTGCTCGACCATGGTTGGCTTCACTTGGAAGCATGGAGGAAATGATTCCTCTGTATTGACCCTTCTTTTGTAGACTGGACACTGGTTCAAGTCCATCTTGGTGGGGTCTCCTTGGCCTCCTTGATCAAGAGGACAGGTGACCCACCACAATTACAGGACATTTTGAGAGATGCTCATAGTCCCCTGGAACTAGTCGACCTAGGAGGGCAAGGAGCAAAAACTGTCCTTTATGTCCCTCTGACCAAATTAGTATAGGCCTCAAAGTATGTCTTTTAAACATCCAAGAAGGTTAGTTCCACAAGTCTGATACTTTTAATTACTATGTGTCATATACATAAATATTGGGCAAAGACCAATTGTTCTCAGATGAACCTTACCTAGACATATATTTCTTGATCTGCTATGTATAATTTGTCAGTAGGGTGTAGTAGTAATATGGTTCCCTCTGGTTTTTAAAACTAGCTAGGCATTGTTTATCTCTCGCATTGTCTCACTCCTCCACCATAGTTTTCCCACTTAAGATGTCCCCATTTCCCCCCTTTCTCCCTTAATAATACCCTTCTCCTACGGTCCTACCTCTCTTGAGCGCCTTCTTTCCCTTTATCCCCTAGGTTCCTTGTATACCCTTCCCCCGCCCTTAAACTAACCCAATTTTTATCCATATCTCCCTTATTAAGGCCTGTTTCCTACTGTTCTTCTCTTTCAGGTTATTTCTTTTCCATTACCTCCCTGTTTCCTTTCCATTATCCTGATTCCTGTAGTTACGTTTGGTTGCATACTTATTTATCAGAGTCTGGATCTAGGATCCACATATCAGGAAGAACATATGTAGATTTTTTTTCTGAGATTGTGTTACTTCACTTAGTATAACAGTTTCTAGTTCCATCCATTCACCTGCAAATTTCATGATTTCCTCTTTACTGCTGAGCAAAACGCCATCATACAAATGAACCACATTTTCATTATCCACTTGTCAATTGAGGGACGCTTAGGTTGCTTCCATCTCTTAGCTATTGTGAAAAGAGCAGCAACAAACATGGAT